GGGGTGGGGGCCGGGTCCCTTCAAGCACAGCCCTCGGCTAGCCTGAGGCAGCAGCTCCATGCTCTAAGTCCTCATCTGATGCCCTGCCGGCACTGCTTCCGGCCATCCTTAACCCCGGTTCAGGGTCCACTTAATGTGGACATGCTAGTTCGAATTAGCAAAACGCTAATTCGAACTAGTTTTTTAGTCTGGATGCGTTAGTTCGAATTAGCTTAGTTCGAATTAACTAATTCGAACTAAGTTAGTTCGAATTAGCGCTGTAGTGTAGACATACCCTCAGTTCAAGATCAAGATCTTCATAACCAGATACTGTTCAGTTGCTTAGATCTTTGCAGTTAACCACTTACAGAGTTTTTTCATTTACTGTATTTTTATAGTATTATATATAAATTCAGCAAAAGGGAATAAACTTAAGCAGCTGTTTATACCAAAATAAGTAAAGACTGGATCTTTTCCTTAACCTTTTCCTCAAACCATATGGGATTTGGCTCCAAACTAGCCATGGTTTTGTTTTCCTAATGTACATCGCATTTTGCAATGTATACAACATTTTTGCAAAAGTGAAAACTACTCTTCTCTACTAACAGCATAAAGACACTTTGGGCCTTATTCTCTTTCCAGGGACATTGGTTTCATAATGGTGTAACTTAATGGATTTCAGAGGAATTTCGGCATACAGTTCCCATTGATTTCAATGGGAGCTACGGGCCTAAATGCTTTTGTGCTTTCCCCATTTAGTGGATCAAACAATAAGCATTTTGTTTCCAAATCCCTAAAGAAGAAATGGCAATTTACCTCTTACAGTCAGCCGTCCGTGCTGTAAGCCATCAATTGTGACCAAGCGAACACCCCCGATGTTGTCATTGTCCACTATTTGAAACTGTTGCCATGTGATTGGTCGGGACTGCCCTTCCAGGAGATCCAGGCCTTCAAAGAACAAAGAATTGCTTCAGACAGTAAAGATGACAAAAATCCGATTTAAAATGTTAAACTATATTTTTAACCAGTTAACCAGTCTGCTTGAAATTAGATGAAGGTTTCTAATCATCAGAAGAGTGAATTCTGGAATAATCTTTCAAGGAGAGCACTGGGGCCAAAAGTCCTAACTGGCTTCAAGATTGATCTTGATAAGTTTCTGGCGGGGATGGTATAACGAGACCGTGTACAAGAGCATGATCTGTGACTGCTAGCAGCAAATATCTCGAACAGACAGAGATAGGGCACTAGATGGGGAGGGCTCTGAGTTACTACAGAGAATTAAATGTGCATCATTCAGTCAAATTCCAGTCTTCTTTTTCTGTATCCTGTTCTATTACTTTATCACTTCATTTTCCATAGCCCCTAAATGTAAGATCCTATATGTGATCCTCCCACATCACAGATCCTTGGGCTTTTCTAAGTTGTTAGTCATGACTTACTACTTACTTATTGCCACTTTTTTTTTAAATGCCTTTCCACCCATTTTTTTCCCATATCATTCCCTCTGCATCTTGTATATTAATCTGCACACCCTATGCTCTCCATCTTTTCAGAGGTCAATCCTAAATAATATCTTGATTTTTCTCATGTCCCCATTTCCCTCTTCTGTTACTCTGCGTTTTCATTCTGCTTCGTTTTGACATTTATTCTGGCTTCTATGACTGGGTCACACAAAAATAGAGAGGAGGAAACAAATAAACATACTCCGACTCAGAATGAACTTTGGGCTGCTCAGACTGTTGATTGAGACCAGAACTTTGTCCCTTCAGCCCATCTCTGCATAAACATACATTCTGTAGCAGAATTCATTCAGTGACATTCCATCTCACCTGTATTCCATGAAACCCGAGGAGCATTTGTATCTGTGGTTCTGATGGAGATATGCACAGTCATTGGTAAACTCCTTTCAAAGTAAAAGTCATGAACCTCTAACTCCATCTGTTATATAAAAGGGCATATTGTTTGTTGGGAAAAAAAGGTTAAAATACCTTTGTCTATGTGCATACAAAATATATGCTGCATGCAGATAATTGAAATATAAGGCTCTATAGACTTCAAGAGATTCTGATAATATTATAACCAAAGGAATAAATCGCAAGTGGTTCATGATGTCACTAAAGGCATCCCTCCCAGTTTTCCGTACTACCTTATAGTTCTGGCTTCCTATGTTGTGTTCTTTACAGTTAATGCAGAGGAAATAAGATTAATATAGTTGTATATTTATATAAATTAACAGGAAAGACATACATTTTAATTTGCACTAGAGTGGACTATGCATTTACACATGGATATTGCAATAGTAAAAGAAGCGATGGGGTACATTCCTTGCTCAGCTGCCGCTTTATAAGTCTGTCAAGCGTGATACGATAAATAAAAACTGAGGAAAATTAAGTACATGAGCTACAAAAATTAAAATAAGTTTTAAAAGCATAAACACTTTCCAGGGATTCGTAAAGATGTGCCCAGCAGGCAGATATTTATTTAAAGTTTCCTTAGGAAGTTGCTATTCCTGCTTAAACTCCTGTGAGAGTCCCTGAACTAAAATTGCCAGGCCCTATTTGTCGACTGGGAGCAGACTAAGCTACTATACTATTTTACTGCATGGACCTTGTATCTCTACTTACTTCATCCACTTGTTTTGCCACTGACTTCCTATCTTCATATACCTCAGCACTGTTAGAATGAGTCCTTTTTTGCATATCTTGCCACCTGCAGCCATCTGCCTAGATCTCAACTTCTGAAAATACACAATTTCTTTCCTATCTCACCTCTTCATCTTTCTTTCTCCTTCCTATTAGTGTACTATATTTAACGTTGCATTTCTATAACACTTGAAACCACAAATGTTTATTTATATCAAGAATAATGCATCAAGAAGACTTCATAAAAGAATAAGTAAAACCCAGTGGCACAGGCCTGAAGTGAGGAGCACATGGGTATGTTGAAAATGGGCAGTGTTGGAAATTATGTGCAATTTCATTAGAATGTAAAATATGTTTAATCTTAAGATGAGTCTACACAGCACCCTAAACTCAACATAAGATAGGCAATTTGCACTACACAAATTGCGTATCTTATTTTGAAACTATTTCAAAATAGCTTATTTTGAAATTTGGCGCATCTACACAGGACCAATTTTCGAAATGATGTGCTATTTCAAACCATCCCTTATCCCTCATGCAACAAGGTTTACCAGGTGCAGGAGAGGATTCTGGCCTGGAAGGAGGAGTGTAGGAGGAAGGAGTGTATGGTGTGTGAGGAGGTTGTAACCTGTGGCAGAAGTGCAGAAAGGGGTGCCGGGTCTGGGAGGGAGTTGTGACCTGGGGAAGGAGTGCAGGAGGAGGTGCAGAGATTTGGGTTATGATCAGAGACAGTGGATTGGGTTGCAAGGTCTGGGAGGGGATTGTGACCCCGAGCAGGGGCGTAGGAGGGGATGCAGTATCTGGGAAGGTGTATGGGGGATGGAGCAGGGCTGCAGAAGTTTCAGGGTACATGGGCGGGTCTGGGAGGGAGTTGTGACCTGGGGAAGGAGTGCAGGAGGAGGTGCAGAGATTTGGGTTATGATCAGAGACAGTGGATTGGGTTGCAAGGTCTGGGAGGGGATTGTGACCCCGAGCAGGGGCGTAGGAGGGGATGCAGTATCTGGGAAGGTGTATGGGGGATGGAGCAGGGCTGCAGAAGTTTCAGGGTACATGGGTAGGGGGGCGGGGGGGGGCAGAGGGTAGGGGGAGGGAGGGGCTGGGGTGCCAGAGGCAGACTCTGGCTAGGAGACCTTACCTGGGTGGCTCTCAGCCAGCTGACCAGCAGGTTCTGCAGCCAGAGTCCTGCCTTCCACTCCCGTGTTTGTGCTTAGAGCAGCTACAAGAGCCATATTTGCTGTCCTGCAAACAGCCAGCTGCTATTGGCTGGAAACCTGCCAATGGGAGCTTGTGGGAGTGGGGCCAGCGTGAGAATCCTTCTTTCCCTCCCTCCCCCTTTCCCTGGGCTCTCAGCATTCAGAGATGCACACATGGCCCTGCAGCCTGGCTTTTCTGAGTGCCAAACAGGGGTGGGGGCAAGTAGGCAGGGAGCCGGCTGAGGCTCTCCTGGGCTGAATCTGTCCCCCAGATTATATTTTGCCCAGCCCTGGTGTAGACAGTGGGGTTACAAGATATGAAAGACAAGCAAATGAGATCAGAACCAGGCCTATTGTGTATAAATGGCACTAGACCGCAGATGCAAATTACAGTAGATACTAGTGACTCCAGTAGATACAGAGAATATGGCTCTTGCACAACCAGGCATAAAATTTCATGAAAAATGTCTGTGAGGAAGTCAGTGCTCAATGGGCAGGAATGTAGAGAAATAAGATCCCTTAAGTGATATGTTTTTGTCAGTCAAGGTTGAGCATTACAGTAGATTGAGGGGATGTTTTAGTGGATTTATCTTAGCTCACCAGGGTCACAAGATTCTTCTCCTGGGAGTCCTACCACTAATGAAATCAGCCTTCAAGGTATGTAATTAAAACATACTTCCCATTTTAGTGAGGTATTTTTCATGTCAATTAAAAATGAATTTTGCTCATAGAAACCTCTTAGAAATGAACATAGCTTTTTGTAACTTTTTGAATGCTAGAGGGGGGGAAATAAAAGGTTCTGTTTGTCCCATTGTTACCTCATAATTCCTCCTCTCTGTGTGGCTGTTGTTTGGAGGCTGATATGCTATAAGCATCTCACTGAGATCTTTCCATGTAAAGGAGGTGATAGGCTTGGTATGGTCTAACAGATGAGTGATGTAGCCTTGGGAGGGTGGCTTGGTAATGTTGAACACTAGCAGGGATTTGGGTGTTTCACTGTCTTCGGCATCCAATGTTGTTGTTGTCAAGGAGGTCAGAATAAACTGGTCCACCTCCAGGATGAACATAGATATGAAGGCAGCTCTGGGGATTTGGTTGGGAACAGCACCTTTGATTCGGACAGGGAGCCAGGCATGCTCTGTCTATGAAAGGGAAAAAAAAGTCAGGACAAAATATAGTTCAAATTTTATTTTAGACTAGATTTACCCAGCGTTGCTTGGGCCCTTGACTCAATTACATTTCTTTTTAGACAATGAAATGAAAATGTACATGTTTCATTTAAATCAGTGCTCTGGGGTGGGGCTGGGGATGAGGGGGTTCAGTACGCAGGCTGCCCTGCAAGGGGAGGGGTCCATGTCACTGGCATCTGCTCCTGGCGCTTCTCAGCCAGAGCGAGGAATGCAGCAAACTGTGCACTTCTCCTCTCTCCCTGACAAAGGGAAACAGCCTGAAATGTTCCATCCAAATCAGGGAGGGGGGGATCTTCAGCACTCCCTAAAGGGTGCCGAGGGGTGGGAGGCTCCTGGATGGGGGGGCATGCCCCCAGGCAGCCCCTTTCACCAGCCTGGTGATTCTGTCTCTTTTCTGTATGGTTTTATGAGAAGCAATCCTATTCTAGTCCCATCCCATTTTCCTGGCACATCCAAACCCTTACCCTGCTTTAAGTTATAAGTGGAATCTGTATATCGAATGTGGTGGTTCTTACCGTTTAGGAGTTCTTGAACAAACAGATAGACAGACAGACAGACTCACAAACTCTCTCAAATATATAGTAGAGGAGTACTCCAATGGTATTTAAGCATATTTTGTACTTAAGGTTCAGCATGTGTTTATTTCCTTTATTGAACTGAGTCCTAAAGAACTAATCCACCTGTTTTCAACTTTTTTGTGTTGGGTTTTCCCTGCCATGTTATGGGAAGGGCAGCATAATCACCCACACTGAGAACCTGTGAACTATTAAGGAACTGCTTCGGCTGTGCCCCTGGAAGCTGCAGATCATGCCAGGATTGGAGGAGGAGTTCAAAGAAGGAGACTCCACTCAGATGGTTGCAAAACTGGGAAGACAACAAGAGCCCGCCTGTTCTGGGAGAGAGGTCTGCCAGACAACAGAGCCTCTGTTTTTGCAGAAAGGAAGGCACAGATCCTCTGGGCTAAGGAAGTGGGGAGAGACCAAGACTAATCATGGAGACCTGATGGACTCTGGGGCAGATTGTGCTATTGCTGAGGTTCAAAGAAGTGAGAGGAATCAATATTCTCACTGAAGCTGTTAACAGGTTTCTTTCTTTTCCTTTATGCTTATATTTAACTTTGTTTGGTGACCATGGACTGTTTTGTTTGTGTCACCTGCAACTCATACTTGCTGGGGTGTGGGCAATTAAAGTCAAAAGGGGCAATTAAAGTCAAAAGGGGTTCTCTATCCAGGATAGGCTCATGACAGCATCTCCAAGTAGTTTTGCTGGCACTAATGAATGCTCACTGTCCTGCTGTGATATAGGTAAGCGATAGTATCTACAGTGTACAAATGGGGACACTGACTCACCAGGATGTGGAAGCCAAATCCTAATCTGGGTTGATCTTGTTCTTAGGTGCTCAACTTGAGCTTCCAAGGGCCTGATTTTCAGCTGAAATTCTGGGTTTCAGTGCCCCTGCAAATCAGTTCTTGGATCCAAAATTACTGCCTACTTCTGAAAAACTGGTCTTAAGTGATTTGGTCAGGAAAGTCACATTAGTAGTCAATAGCTGGGCCAATAATAGAAGCCTTGATTCCTGTATTTTAACCACTACACAGACTCTCGCTATGAGGTTATTGCACAAAGCTACTCAGTTTATGATAACCATTCTCGTGTCACGATCATTATTCTCATTCCTCACCATCCCTCCCCTCCCCTCTTCACCCCTTTTTTTAATGCTTAGTAGTTGCTTCTCTGGGTAGTCAAGTTATTCAAGCATGTGTTTATTTCCTCTCTCCCCAAGGCAGCCTGCGTACTGAACCCCCTCATCCCCTGAAGCTGCAGATCTTGCCAGTATTGGAGGAGGAGTTAAAAGCATTTGTCCCCATTGTAACTCCATTTACTTCAGTGGATTTATAGCAGCCATTAATTTGGCCTGTTGTTGACTCACATAAATACAGTCATGAACATGACAGAATATGAGAAGCTACACAGCTGTAGAAAGCTCTACCTTGTGTAGAATTTTGCTTCTGCTGTCTGTGAGGTGCAGCTGGATAGGAACATAATCAATGTTGGGTGAAGGAGGATCAAGATGCTGGTATCTAATTCCCATCAGCAAAAATTCCTCACAGCTCATTTTGGTGTTCTGAATCATCTTCAGTTCTGGAACACAGTTTCCACTCCTGCACCTTTGGCTCGTCCTGTGCTCTAGAATTCAACAGAAGCAGTTGTAAAATATTTGTTTAAAGAATAGAATGGATAAACATTATAAGAAAGCTCAATCAATGTAGCTAAGCTAAAAGTGTCATAAAAGGGCAGCATGACACAGCATAGAACCTTTTCCCCTCCGTTCTTTCCCTGAATAATAATTGTGTTGGGTTGACAGATATTTTCCAGCTCCTACTTCAATTTCTTCGTTGTGTTTCTTGTCAAGTAAGCCTTTAATTCTGGCTAAGATATTAATCCAACAATACTAGACTCAAAGCCTAGAAGCTTTATTGTCCATCTTTGGACAAAGACACAGCCAATCAGAGAACTGAGCATCTTTAACTCCCATTTTATCCCTAATATTCTCCTCCTCTCTCTCTCTCAGTTGCATCACCACATCCATTTTAAGAACCAGATCTTTGCAATATATCTGAAGGATATTATTGTGGCAGGTATTCCACCCCCTCTCTTTGTAAGCGTTAAAGCAAACAATTAAAGCATGGCATACTGGATCTGGGGAAGAAGCTATGAGGTTGATCTCCACGAGGCTCTTCTTGCTGAGGTTCTCCAATGACAAGTTGACCGTGGGCTGGTAGAAGCATTTCTAACGAGGCCAGTGTGATGGTGCACTCCAGGTTTGTCCTCTTGTCATAGTCAAAAGTAAGCATATTCTTGTCAATCACCCTGGACAGGCCATAAAACTCGGGGACCTCCAGGGCACTGGAGCTGATTTTGATGATATTACAATCTGGTTCAAGTAATTGCACCTGAAGGATGAACGTTTCTGTGAACGTTTCAGTTTCTGTAAATCTGTAAAGGACAAAAGATGCTTAGTAATATGTCAAGCCAACCTCCTCCATTGCCCATGAATTCAGCATTATCCTCAACTCTGACATTTCCCATTTCTGCAGATCTCCTTATTGCTACATAAATATGTGGTCAAGTTCTATGACCCTAATAGAACTAAAGGGCTTTTCTCCTGATTCGCCCTGGTATTAAGAGCTCTGACTTGGAACTGGACAATTATTTCCATGGACTCATCCCACAACAGGTACTTCCTATTTGTTTGAATCCAGGGTAATAAAGGATTTGATTGTCTTATAAGTGTGGCAGGCAAAAGACAGCAGGCTACAGGAGTTAGTGGGAGGGCAGGCTACAGGAGTTAGGTATACAGGCAGTTGGGTGACCATGTCCTTGTTCCGGACTCATCCCACAACAGGTACTTCCTATTTGTTTGAATCCAGGGTAATAAAGGATTTGATTGTCTTATAAGTGTGGCAGGCAAAAGACAGCAGGCTACAGGAGTTAGTGGGAGGGCAGGGATACAGGCAGTTGGGTGACTGAATAGACTGCCGGAGACTGCTGCCCCAGCAATTAAGACAGGAAGACACCTGGAACTCATTTGAGCCAGCTCTTTCGAAAGAGGCTTGCAGTCTAGACATAGCCTATTTGTCTGAATCCAGGATAATAAAGGATTTGATTGTCGGGATTTGATTGTCTTATAAGTGTGGCAGGCAAAAGACAGCAGGCTACAGGAGTTAGTGGGAGGGCAGGGATACAGGCAGTTGGGTGACTGAATAGACTGCCGGAGACTGCTGCCCCAGCAATTAAGACAGGAAGACACCTGGAACTCATTTGAGCCAGCCTGCAGCCAGTTAGGGCCTGCTGGTCCCTTATAAAAGGCTTCTTCCCCTCAGACAAGGAGGGGAGAGGAGAAAGAGGGATGAACCACAACAGAGGACGTAGTACAGAGAGACAGACTGTGAGGGGAAAACAGAAGAGGTACTGTTCTCTCAAGGTACTAGGGAGAAGGTATTGCGGGAGGGTTAGGGAAGTGGCCCAGAGAAAAGGCTACTATATGGTGGGGATAAGGTCAAGAGCCTCTCCCCTACCCTGCTACCCCCCAGTAGCTGCTACCAAGGGTCCCTGGGCCAGATCCTGGAATAAGTGGGCAGGCCCAGGTTCCCCCCAACCCTCCCCCATACCTGGTGAATCGCCACTAGTGAAAGGGGACTTTTGGTCCATGCAAGAGTTTTTTTTCCCTCCCAGCTAATGACTGACCGATGAGGCAAAGGGCTCATTAAGTGGGGAACCCTCACTCTAAAAGCACAGAGAGGCAGTGCGAGGGTTGCTGCAAGCTTCTGAGGCTTCTTAAGAACCATCAGGAAGCGCAGGACCTGCCACATAAAGTATACAGAATTTAGAGCCGGGGGAAAAGGGTAGCAGGAAACAGTGAGAACAAACAAGCTAAGGGAATTTTATGGCTGCTCTCATGTAAGCAAGCAATAAGGGGTTCCCAGAAACACATGGGTGACTTTGCATCCTACCCCCGAATGTGTACTATGCTAGAAAACTCAGAGTGGGACTGCTACCTACTTATACACCATCTCTAGGACACTCAGATTTACAACAGCTGAAACTTATCAGTGCCTCCTCATCTTGATTATTTCAACTCCCTTCTCTGAGGCGTTTTAAAATCTTAGATCCCCAGATTCTAGTAGGAGCAGATATTGCAGCCCCCCCTTCCACATGTACAAAAAGTATGATCATGCCACCTTCATCCTCAAACTCCACCGATTCCCTATTCATTTCAGGATCCAGTTCAAAATTGTTCTTGTTTAATAAAACTTCCCAGGAACTTGTTCCACCAAGCTCATGGACTGGATTTCTTTCCCTTTTGCCTACTCCTACACCCTGATTTCAGCTTCCTCCTCTTCCAATACTGCTTTTTAAACTTTATTGAAAACAGAATGAAAGCTCTTCCCCTCTGGCTCTGCTTCCTCTGTACACGCTAATGAGATCAGTTAGAAACCACGTATCCTTATCTCATCAATTTGTCTTCCTCGAAGATGGATCATGTGCTCTAACATTATACTGCTCATAGGTTTATGAAAGTTAGACCTGCACATCTGATGTGATAAACAATGTCACCTGTCACCTTTAATATCAAAATGGAGACAGGACTGTAATAGACTCCGATCTTAGGGAGAAGGAGATCAGTGGAGCTCACCCAAGGAAGAGAAGGTGACAAGCAGAGCCTATGTTGAATACTGACATGCTACAGCTTCCTCCAAGGAAAACATTCCGTTCCTGAATCCCTCATTCTGGGCACTGTTATCTATTCTAATTCCCATTTGTCATTCCTCTGGTGCCTGGACAAAAAGGATGATCTAGTGGCCAGGGGATTAGGGTCTTAGTAGGTTCTGCTGTGCTGTATGACCTTTGGAAAGTCACGTAGCCTCTCTGTGCCTCAGTTCTCCACCTGTCAAATGGGTTTGATAGTACTGTACTATATCTCTTCGGGATGCTGTGAGGATAAATATACTAAAAATTTGTGTTGCCCCAATTACCATCCTATCTGAAAACCCAAGTGCCATTAATAGAAGGAATATGGTAGTATGGCAGCAGGCAAGTTTGATATACTCCTTTTTTTGAAAAGAGAATAAATTATTTAAAACCCCAGTGGAAAGGACAGGGGTAGTATGTTTCTGTTTTCCATCCAGGAAAATTATATGTAAAGGGGAATCATGAGAATTATGTATGTCCTGATTGTCATTTACTTGCTTACACTGAATAGTACCTCACACCACAAGAAATCCTGTTGAACTCAAAGGAATTACTTGTGGAAGAAAAGGTTGATCAGTGGGGGTAAGGGTTACAGAATCTGACCCTTAATGTCAGCACTTTGAGAATGTCATACACTTTGTAAGTGCTGTTGTCAGTACTAAGAGTAACACGAAGAATCAGTTTCTCTACTGTACAAATAACCCAATGTTTAGCAACGTCAACAAATATGTCATCAGAGTGTTTCTTGTATACATTTTGACAGCTAAAACTATAAATAGTTCACGGTATGGGTTACTGGTTAATGATGCCTTCGGGTGTGCTTAAGTAGTTACTGCAGATATAAACTGAAGAATTTTTATTTGCCTGAAACATGGAGTGTTTTTTCTTCATGGGAAAAACAGTAGTTTTACTAGTGATAACAATGCATAATAATACTTCAGTGCTGCTTACCTGTATAGCCGAAGCATGACCATGTCTTCATCTAAAATTGGACAACCATTATGAGTATACTTGACTTCATTAGGAAGGAAATGACAGTCAAACACCTATTGAGGTAGAAAAAATAGAGAAGCAAATGCTGTCATGAAAGTCAGGCTCCAGAGTTGCTTTCTTTAGTTCTGCTTTGATTGTCATTGAACTGCTGCTAGACCAAAGCATGCTTTCTAACCTGCAGTTTGTTTCTACAACACAGAGTCACTTTTGTTGTGCAGTGTGTGCCAGACTATCCACATCCTGAACAAACTTCACTGAATAAAAGTTAAACGTAACTGAGTTACATTTATCATCTTTATATTTCTAATACAATGACCTGCAAAGGATTAGGTATTATTGTGAAATTATATGGAACTTTATCAGGAAGACAAGACTAATGCCATCTCTTGAAGGCATTAAGAACATCCAAGGTCTTTTTAGAACAATAAATGTGAAGTGGATTTCCTAGGAAATATCTTGCGGGGAATGCACATTTTCCCCTCCAAAGCCAACCTTTTGAAGATGCCCATTGAGTAGGAGCTGCGTGTTCTGAAAACTCCATCCCAAACACCCCCAAACTGTATACAGTGTGAATTAACCATGCTGTGAGAAGGATGCTTTTGAAATGAAATTATGAGAGAATGGTATTCTCAAGAACTCCTGTTGGATGCAAGGTTGGAGGATTGCTCCTGACAGAATCCATGTCAGGGTTGGGGTTAATTCTGGTAAGCTCATTAGCATGCATGTTGGTTCATTTATTATTTTTATTACATCTTCTCTGTAAATGTTTTGTGATGTCAACAAATATGTTTTCAGTGTATTTCTTGTATATTTTAGTTTAAGAATGGAGTAGGTTTGCTTAGGAAGTATTGTGTGGTTCATTATAATTGTAGCAAATTACATCTGTTAACCATTTCCAAAGGAAATGCAAACATGTGTCCTTGGGCAACCCGTCTGCTCTGTGAACCACACAGCAAAGACAGGGAACTGAAAAGACGCCAGTCAGAAGGGAGAGACATATCTGATTCCATCCAGAAAGGCAATGGCTGGGGAGCTAGAAGCCTGAGAGTGGGTGCTTTGGCTGAAGCACTGAGAGGAAATGCCAGTGCAGTTGCCCTGAATTGTGGTAGATTTAGCAAAAAGGAGCAGAGAAATATTAGGCACCAAGGGGCTACCAGCAGTCTACAATTTTAAAAAGTACAAGTTAGTTTCAGTCAAAGCAGCATGCGCTTAAGTTCTATTAACGGGACCTGCTTGAGTGCTTTGTAGAATAATGATGGATTCATGCACATACTCAAATGCTTTGCTGAACTAATGCCTGATGTGAAGACATAGATTCACTGATGCCATGTATCTTTATCCCAGGCAGAAACTCTCTTCAACAGCAGCACTCTTTCATTCCGCAATAGGTCAACCCTTAGATAATTGAATAGCTGTTAATTAATGTGGGATGAAAATACTAGCTTTTGTTCCTTCCAGTAAATACTACAAAACTAGAATTTACATTATTTTTACTATTATAAACGTATTTACATCTCATCAGGTTGTCAACATTAAAAATATATTGTGCTTTTCTGCTGTATGTTGTTCTTGTAGTCTTGAAGCCAGATAGTAGCTGTAATTTGTTTCTGGGGCTTTCGAATATTTTCATAAATAATTGCCTATCAGACAATAATATTTTAATGCAGTAACTAAAGGGTTAATTTGTTCTACAGGTAGATAAAGGTGGGTTAAAATAGACTTAACTGATTATAGTATAGTACAGGTCTCCTTGTTGTTTTTGCAGATACAGACTAATACCTCTGAGGATTGATCAGTTTTATCAGCCTTAACCTGCCTCTTTTTTGTTTAGTGATGACTTTGGTTAACAAACTAAGTGAATCAAAGTTTTGTGAAATGCATGTTCTTTTTATAGAGAGGAATGGTATGCAAATATTATTTTAATTAGTGAACTAGAAAGTGCACGGTAATTGCACATACCAAGATAAACTGCCAATGTCCTGCATTCCACCCATCTTTTGTTAGGTAGCCATCCTGCTGCCAGCGGGGGGAATGGAGAGCGCAGCGCAGGCAAGCTGGCCGGCCTGTGGAAGGGGAGCCGCATTTGTGCCCAGGCCCCGCGCAGCCGCAGCCAGGCACAACCCACCCTCCTCCGGGTGGGGGAATGGAGAGCACAGCACAGGCGCACTGGAAGCTCATCAGGCCCTCCCTGCAGCAGAACAGAGCTGACCCAACCCAATTCTAATGAGTAAAAATAAACGTGTATACTCATGGACATGTATACCCAGTGGGGTATGGAGGGTTGTAAAAACATGTATAATAGTAAAAATAAACGTGTATACTCATGGACATGTATACCCAGTGGGGCATGGGAAGTTGTAAAAACATGTATAACCTGCGGGTTATATACGTTAATTTATGGTAATTGAAATTCTCAAAGCATGATGTTAAGAAAGAATACTCAGCTTAAGTTAGGGCCGTTCGCCCAAACAACAAATATGCAGAATGTATAATTTTTAAACCCTTTCTATGTGCTAGCTCTCCAGAGTTCAGAGCTATACAGCTGGTGTAAATCCATGTAGCCCCTTCCACTTCCATGGCATTACACAGATCAATACAGGTTGAGAATCTGGCCTCGGAGTTTGGGAACCCAGTTTTCATCTTGCATCTCTGGTGTTAGGCTTTGTGATTCACCAGATGAATAAGGTTTATCTTATGAATAAACATTTTTACAAGACATCATTAGTTCTTGTTCTTAACTGATAACAAGGGAGATTTTAAAAAAATGAAGGACCTTTCCACACAGGCTTCCTACCATTGATAGATAGTGATAATAAAATAAAGGCACAATCTGCTTTGCTAAAAGAAACATCTGTTTTATGTTTCCTAATATGTTTTCCTTTTATATGAACAGGCAACTGTAATTGTCTATAAATTTCCTAAGTAAAACAAAGGAGAGCTAAATCTTTTCCTAATTACTGTCTAGCTTTGTTTTTTCCACTTCAACTCCTTTTCAATTATAATTTATAATTAAATTGTCACACATTCCTAGCACATTACTCACTGTAATGGCAGTAAAACATATCAGTCCAGAGACTAGATCTGACTGCAGCATTTCCTAGTTGACAGAGGCAGGGGCACTGACAGCATCCACAGGCCCCTGACAAGAAAAGGGAGGGGGCAGCTCCACCTTTGTAGCTAAGAGCCTCAGGGCAAGTGTTGCCTTTGCGCCCCTCCCCCACAGGGGGCCTGGACAGAGGGCATGTTCAGCACCAACCATGGGCCAGCTTAATAACTTTTCTCAGGATGAGTTACCACTTTAGGACAGTGCCTAAGACTTTGCCTCACAAAGCCATGTGATTAGATTAAAAGCTCTTATTTCATTAAGCTCTCATCTTGAAAGAAGGTTCTCTCCTTAACGGTTTTGCAAACTACAGACTGGAAACATGAACTGAGTCTAAGTGTTGCAGTGACGTCTGCCTGAGTCTGCAGGCAGCCTCCCACAAAAGGACGAGCGACAAAGACTAGAGTCGAGGATGAAACCATGTGGCTCCAAATACAACAGCAAAGTAGAGCAGGCCTCTTCACTCCAGACTAGACCTAGGACGCCCTAGTGAGGCTGCTACAGTTCTGGGTGCCACCCAGTTGTTTGTTTACATGGAGGGTCACCATCACCAGTCAAAAAGTTGGCCCTCCCAGCTCCTCTGGATGCTGGGGGAATGGAGAGGAAAGCCTTTGCTTTGGTTGTTGCCTCCTCCAAGTAGCAAAGGTAGAACAGAGGCCCTTGTTATCAACATGGGGTAGAATGTTTTATTAATAGGGTCCTGGTCACTGAAGGAAGAGAAGGAGCTGTGGATGAGAGAACAGCCGCTGGCTGTGTTTTCCAGATGTCCAAGTAATAAGGTTCTGGTGAATCATATTCCACGGTGCTCCTGGAGAAGTGGCTCCAATCTAGTTCTTGGCACAACTCAGGCTAGTGATGCAGCTCAGATTGTATTATCTTGCCTGCACTCCCTTGAGCCTATGAACTGAGGCAGTCCTCAAAAGTAAGTTGCAACATCTTCAGGTCTGCTCAAACTTTCACCCAGCTGCATGTTCCCCAAGGAGCCACTCTAGCCCTGGGGGATGTACTAGGACATAGGCTACATCTAGACTGCAGTGCTTTTCTGGGATACCTCCAGTATCCCGGAAAAGCAATATTCAAAAAAGCAGATGTGCTCTTTCACCATCCCTGTAAACCTCATTTTATGAGGAAAAAGGGATGTGTCAAAGGAGGAGTTTTTTCCGAAATTTGGTGCCATGTAGACGCCCCAAATTTCGGAAAAGCCTCTTTCGACAGTAAAGTGGAAAGAGATACACAATTTGCAGTACGCAAATTGCATTTCTTTTTCCAATTTATCTTTGCAGTGTAGACCTAGCCATAGAGAAGTATTGGCCACTCCCCTTTTTTCTCTTACATATGTCTCCAATATCAGAGGGTCCAAAGCAACAGGGGGAGGAGGGAGAAGGAGCAGGGGAGGAGGATGACATATAGAAGCTAATGCAGGGCTTTTGTCCCACATGAGGATTATTCCACACTGGGGGAATCTTCCATGTGCAGTTAAACTAGTTCTACAATTCCTTTGGGTCACCAGAATGACTCAAAGAAGCTGTAGTGAGAACAGCATGTAGAGGAGTAATAGCCCAGCACCATAACTTCAGCATTCTCTACTTGCCCTTACAGTCTGCAGATGCTCAGGCTCTTACAGGAAAAAATTAACTCAAAGTTTTAGTTCAGTTTAGTTAAGCAATTCTGGTATGAAAAAATTGTTCCCCAGATCACAAATACTTCAAGAAAGTGATATTTCTCTGGGGAGTTTATTACTTCTGCTTCTAAAATCAGGAAGCAAGGAGATTATACATTAGACTGCATATATTAAAGTTAACCCTACCCTTTCAAATCTTAGTAGGAAATAAAGTTTGATTATGGTTTGTTTTGTGTTTATTCATCTCTTATCAATGCCAGTTCGTCCATGCTTATTACCAAGAGTTTCTTTCTAAAAAACTCATATGGTGAAATTTACCAGAAAGATTAGAGGAAAGGTGATACATGAAGTACACTTTGATGTTACTACATATTAGAAGTGTAAAGAGAAAACGAAATCCTTTTATATACTTCCCATCTGTTAGTAATCTGGTCATTGAGAAGCAGAACAAATAACATTGCACTCAATGTGCTTAATGTATGTGATGATTATTTTTAATTGCTCCCTATGTAGCGACTGCGTGACTAAAATATAAAGAGTTTTTGCCTTCTATGCATTACCCTGGGGACACTGGTTTTCCTCACTGAACACAAACAAGCAGCTGGTAGATTACACACTGACTTCTAACAAAAGTTTTGAAAGACCTGCTGATTAAGATCATTACAGTGGAAACCAGATACTGGTCAACTCTACCTTCACGTGCAGGTGTTACTGTATTCATAAACAAAATGTTTGCAGTACTAGTGATAACATTCTCATCCATCCAACTCTTTTTAATGAAAAATTAAATGTCATTCACAAAGGCAATGTAATAGTATGTCTATTAATTACCACCTCACCCTTTCAGATGACTGCTCTTTACAATAAAACTATTTCACATCTTGTAAGACACACACAACTAAAGAAACAACACTGAAGTAAAATTCTGACCCTACATACCTGTGGAGTTAGTTTCCCAACCCTCTGTGTTATTGGCTCATTAATCACAACTTCCACTTTGCAAGCATCTTTCTCTCTCGGGATGGAAAATTGCAGGTCATCTTCTGACAGGAAGACAGACTGGCCCTTCATCACTTTCACCCCAAGATTGACGCTGACAAAGGAGGAGCAGATGCATCTCAGGATAACAGCGAGCAGTGGAAATAAACAGGTAATCTCAAAGGGCTTCATATTTTTAGGGAAATCCAGTTGCCTTCAACTAGTAAACGTCCCAAACAAAAGAGATTGTCTCTTCGTTCTACCGTAGAACTTCACCATATAATTAAGGGAAACAGCTTTAGTCGCAGGCAATAACGTACTGTATATTTTCTATTAAGATATGCCCGTGTGATTGAAATTTGGACAAGGGCACCTTTCAGAGTGTTCTTGGGCTTTAATAAAATTCGTTGACCAATTGTGACAAAAATGATGTATGCGCTTTCAGGGTGCTTTATATGTCTGCTAATCCTGCAAAAAAAAAAATTAGAGGGAAAATGTGGTATGAATCAGGTAGGCAAAGAGATCTCTTATAAGTTCTACAACTGTAGTTCATGTCAAACAGTAAAATAAATTGACTCTAGGCAATATTAAGTGTAGTCATGGTAAAAAAATGGACTATTTAGAAATGGCACCATCTCACTCAATTCACGTCTATGAATTCTGAGTTGTTTCTGCAAACTTGTACATATACATACATTGAATCTTGAGTGTGTATAGAATCCTACATCCAACTACTTTTTACTCTTGTTAGCATTGCAGAGCCACAATGAGAGTCTGAACTGGATTCTGTTCTGAGTAGTGTGTTAAGACAATAGCTAAGTAGGTTACAAATGGAGATAGAAATAGTTTTCTAGATTCAGTATATCTGCATGAAGGGTATTGGAGCTACCTTCTATTTGTTAAATCTACTACTACAAGGATTTTCAAAGTTGGGTTGCACACTCGCCTGGGTAAGCCATTGGTGGGCCACAAGATGCTTTGTTTATCCAAACGTCCATAGGCACAGAGCCTCATCTCCCATTGGCTGCAGTTTGCCATTTCCAGCCAAGAGGAGCTGCAGCAAGGAAATAAAAACTGTCTGATGGCTCTTAAAGAGCTTAGTTAGAGTTAACCTTCATCCTTCTGAGGTGGATAAACAGAGTATCAGTAAATTTACTTTGCTTGGGGTTCTTTGAATGAAGAACCTTGTTAAAAATCAGCTGAATTCTGAGTAATAACAGTCTTTCTAATGTCACAGTCCATTTATCTAGCTAGGGGCTTAGTTGACCCGCATCTCCTTCACACCCAGAATCAGACATTAAAATTTCCCAGACAAATTAAAGACGTTTCATAACATTTAGAGAATTACATTATTCTAATAAAATCTGATAACCTCTTAAATATCTCCATGATGGTAAAACTACAGGCCCTTATAGACACTCCTTAAGTTTCTATGAGAAATTTTCTAATACCTTCACCCTCTATTTATATACAATGTCCAAACTAATCACAGTTGTGCTGCCACCAGTTGTTTTTCCCCCAAAATGATAAAAATCTAGAACTACATACCTCTCATTGCCTCATTTCCTTCCTTAAAGGTAACAATTCAGCTCCTGCTAAGGTTTTTCCCGGTATACTGGCCCCACTGCTCCCTACAATTGTACATACTAATCACTATGGTTTTGCATAAGGCTGATCACTCACTTTGATCCTGATTCAGCAGGGTATTTAAGCATATGCCTAGCTTTAAGCCATGTGACTTCAATGGAACTGCTCACATCCTTGATATTAGGCTCCTGATTACATAATTGAACCCTTTAAACCTCAACTCAGAAAAGATACCTGATTGTTTCATAGCATGGTTGGGTTTTCTTTGTTTGTTTTAGCATATATTTGCAACCCTAGAATTTACCAGTTGTGGTCAATTTCAGCAAGCTCCAAGTATGACAGAACTTGGCCACTGAAACTCTAGCCATTGCCCTTTGATCTTCTTCATTTCTGGAAAAAGCTAAAAGTGACAGCCATGGAACATAAGCTTTGACTCCTGGCTAACAACCTGCTAATACACTTCTCCTCTCCCCAAAACTCTCTAGGTCAGATAGGAGATCTGCTTCTACCTTAAAGAAGTTTTCCATTCTGAAAAGCTAACTTAAATAAATCAATAGTCACCTCCATAAAACCCCCGGACAAATGATACCAACAGTAGACACTTCTACTCTCTAGAACTACGTCTAGATTGCATTGTTTTTCCGGGTTACCAGAGGTAGCCCGGAAAAGCAATGCCGTGTTCAAAGAAGGTGTCCACTTTTCCGAAATTTTTTTTTGAAAAAGCGGATGCGCTCTTTCACCATCCCTATAAACCTCATTCTACGAGGTATAACGGATGTGTTGAAAGAGTAGTTTTTTCTGAAATTTGGTGCCGTGTAGACGTGCCAAATTTCAGAAAAGCCTGTTTCGACAGTAAAGCGGAAAAAGATACACAATTTGCATACCACGAATTACATTTCTTTTTCCAAATTGAACCTTGCAGTCTAGACAAAGCCTGAGAAAGACAGATGATCACTAGGAAATCCATTTTTATGCAAGATTCCATTTATTTTTTGAAATGTGTTAATGGTAAGGTAAAGCATCAGGGCCTTCTTTACCTGCCCCATTTTGTATTGCAACCCCACAACTTCCCAGCCTAGTCAAATCTGAATAGGAATGTGGGTGGGGAGCACCAAAAATATGCCTCATCCACCTCCCTATACCACTGTCCCATACAAAGATAAGAGGTTTTTATTCAAACATGTATCTGGCTATTGACCTGACTGGGAGCAGAAACACATTTCAAACATATTTCTTCTCCGCTATGTCTCATCACCACAATATGATGTAGGACCATCTCCCCAAGTAACCGTGAGACACATGATAACACCCAATGACTGCCTCCTACTATACTTGAAATATTGCATCCAGCATGCTCTGCAGTATTTGCTTGCTGAGCTCCAATCAATGGTGCAGTAAATAAATTGTCAGTAATTAGTTAATGTGTGCTGTCCTTAACTGGATAGAATCAGACTGCTCAGCTGCATGTCATAGGCCCTATATAGCTAGCAATTCATAGAGATACTTCTCTGGTTCAAAAGGTGGAGTTCTGTGCTTTCATACTAGGCAGATCCTATCATCCAACACCTTCTATTGATGTGAAGTTCCAAATTACACTGGTATCTGACATATGAGAAATGTAAAAACTTAGGTGGCACATATCTGTTACAGCATAAATTTATAAAGTATGCAGGCATCGGTTTGGATTTTAAACAGTGTTACCACATCAGATTCAGACCTGGTGTACTTCCTTAGAATTGTACTAATTTACAGTTGGTCTGGAATTGACTTCAAGAAGGTGAGTAATTTGCTGAGCCACGTAGAGACCATCACAACATCTAGACTACACCTTTTTCCACTTTTTTTTTCTCCAGAAGAGGCTTTTCTGAAATTTGGCCCGTCTACACTGGGTCAAATTTCATGAAAAAAAACCTCTTTCAGAAGATGCCTTCTTCCTCGTGGGACGAGGAACACAGGGCTTCTGAAGGAGCGTGTCTGTGCTTCCGCAAAAAAAAGCAGAAGAGCAAACGCGTTCCCTGCATGTGACAGAGTTTTTTCAGGATATACCCAAAAAAACCCTGCAATCTAGATGTACCCCAAATTGATTAATGTTGTTGAATAGTACTTTAAATAGTCTGCAATTCAACAGTGCCGTATATTAAGAATGACAAGGTCAAGCTTTTGTATATTGCACTGAAAATGACTTGGTATATAGTACCTCTGCCTTTTTTCTAGTCATAGGTCCCAATAAGTGTAAAACAATCCAGTGTCTTCCTTTTCTTCATATATTGCATCATTAGACAACAGTTTCATTTGCCCAAGAAGGGCAGAGAACTTTGATTCACACTCAAGTTCCTGACCTGTTTATAATGTTTTAAATACATTTTGTTTTCTCTTCAAGAAAAAAGTCCATATAAAATGTTATTTAACCATGGGTAACCAGTTCCCAGATTTGTCGTTTCTATAAGTGGTGTTTCCAAATCAGCAATTCCTAACACATGCAAACAAAGGCAATCCAGGACAAAAATAAATAACCATAATAAGGGCAATTATTCAGGAAATGAACAGAAATATATTCTCTCCATTCTTAGCTATGTACATTTGTAAAGTGTTCTAAAAGAACCCTAATCCCCCTCCCCCAAATATACTTAATTGCAGTTTATTTAAGCAGCTAATAATCCACCTCAACATTTCTTTGGATTTTAATTTAGTAACTAATCAGAATGGTTTCTACAGTACATGGTGCTTTATGGTAAAATATAAGGAGACAACATCCCCACAGATAAGAAACTACAGCCCAGGAGCCCAGCCATATAAATCCTTAATGGGATAACTCGCCTACTCCTACATTGGATATCACTGAGTAAAGGGCAGCAGTATGAGGCATTTAATTGCACTACAGAGATAGATAATGAATGTAACTAAGAAGTAGTCTGGATACCTGTTATAGAAGTTTGGCATGTATTTTGCCATGCCAGGATTATTAGACTATATCAGCTGTAATCCTAGTATCCATAGAATGGCATCACATCCCAACCTATAAATAGCAATTAAAGCCTAATGGAGACTATAGTGGCCACTGTTAGGGTCTGTCTACACTACCCCGCTAGTTCGAACTAGTGGGGTAATGTAGGCATACCGCACTTGCAAATGAAGCCCGGGATTTGAATTTCCCGGGCTTCATTTGCATAAGCCGGGCGCTGCCATTTTTAAATCCCGGCTAGTTCAAACCCCGTGCCGCACAGCTACACGTGGCACGGAGTAGCTAGTTCGGATTAGGCTTCTAATCCGAACTAGCTGTACTCCTCGTGGAATGAGGAGCATAGCCAGTTCGGATTAGGAAGCCTAATCCGAACTAGCTACTCCGTGCTGCGTGTAGCCGCGCGGCCCGGGGTTTGAACTAGCCGGGATTTAAAAATGGCGGCGCCCGGCTTATGCAAATGAAGCCCGGGAAATTCAAATCCCGGGCTTCATTTGCAAGTGCGGTATGCCTACATTACTCCACTAGTTCGAACTAGCGGGGTAGTGTAGACATACCCTTAGGGATCGTCTCTATTTTCCATATCCTCTTCTTGCTCGAGGACGCTGGAAGAAGGAACTGAGATAAGTCCCTGGCTTCAGTTTTGAGGAGAAACTTCTAGATTGGAAGATAGAAGTCTGCAGAGGGAGGTGAAGAGACTATTCCAGCTCGAGCATGGCCTTTCCTACCTCCCTTTTGACCATTCACAGTGCTGTCACACTGTCACATGTAAAGCTGTGTATTGACTACAAAAAGACAGAAGACTGTGCATTAGGAGCATAACGTTGTCATTTATGCAAGCCAGTGCCAAATTAATGAGGCATTTGTACAGAATCGGGACTGCTTTCACCTTCTAACCCTTTGTCCACTTACAGATAAGCTT